ATTTCCAAATTATAGTGGCAACCGTCGATGAGATGTGAAGGGATCGGAATTTGGTCAAGTCCGAGGTTTCTCACCTTTTTAATGTCAATTTAAGCAATATATTCTCTGCTTCTCTAAATTTTTTACTCTTATTTGTATGTTTTTCAGTATTCCATCTTCTAAGCGGTAGCTTGATGCTAGTTTCCTCAGAATTCTATACAAGACAGTTATAAATTTCGATTTATACACAAGAGCTGGTATGAATTTTATTTTATGGATTTTTATTGATACTAGTTCCCTACAGTGATTGCTTGTGGTAGTGAATTGATGCCTTCTTGATCATGACTTGTTTTGTCTTTTGGTAGGGGGAGGTTGGTTGCAAGAATTTGGGTTCAGGACTTGTGATTGTTGATTGGTTTCAATTTCATTGGATGGTTTGTTAGCCATTCGTTCATGTCTTGACAATCTAGAGCTTGACTTGTGATTTTTATTTTGCAAATGGTATTCATCTAAAGGTGAGAAATTGGCCAAAGGTGATCCTTTCCAAAGAAAAGACTCAGCATTTCTGCTCAAACCTTTTCCTAGGAGCCTATCAAGCAAGTTAATTATAGTGAACATTAGAATTTTTTCCACTTTTTCTTTCTAGAAAAAGATTAAGGAAATTTGGTATATGAGATTCATGGTCTTTTTATCCTTCTAGATTCTGAAATACCCATCATCCATGCTTGCTTCTTTTGCACCACCAATCCTGTTTTTCCAACATACTGTAACTTCACCATCTTGGGCATGTCCATTTTATTAGGCTCTGCTCATAATTCTATTTTTCTAGTGCAAGAGTTATGCTTCAATATATGGATATACTTATCTTGAAACCCACAAGCAGCAATCTCTTATGAAGGTGGGATTTAATATTCTTGATATAACTATCAAAAAACTTTTATGGTTGGATGCATGTTCATGAACAATTAACATTTGGATGGTTTGCTGATTGTTCTCTTTACATGAATAAATATGTCCTTATTGTGTTTCAGAAAGCTTTTCCTTTTTTGGTTTTTGTGCTATTGCCAGCAACTTGGTGGCTCTATGATCATTGATTCTTCCTATTTCTATTTTTCTACAAGGATCATGTCTTATTTAGTTTATTTGGATAAATTTTTAGGTGGATGTGGAGCCAAATATGCCTATAGTGCGGTGGCTGCTTTCAATAATATCTACGAAGCAATGGATTCTTATGAAGATGAGCAGAATTGATGCAATGAAAAGATTAGTGAGAAAGCAACCTTAAAAGTTAACTTCTGTATGATTGCATCAATGCCTGCAAGTAAGGATTATTCACATGAGCACATTCTTATAAAAATAGTGATAAAGATTTCTTTAAATTGGTTTCTTAATTTGATTGTGTGGTAGGGAAATGGAGGGCAAGGCAGCATGGGGGCATAGAAGGCTTTAGCAGAATTGAAGCATCAGACAATGCTTTAGTTTAGCAATTTAATTTTCTCACTTAGAAAATGATATTTTCTGTTTGAGTTTACTGATTGATTTTACTGTGTTTGTTTTGTGGTGTATTGTACATAGAGTTTGAACAATGTACGTAGTTGGTTTTTAATAGTAATAATATCTCTCTTTTTTGGCCAAAAAAATCATTCATCTTAACATGCCAACCAAAAAATGTTTAATTTATTTTGTCTTATTTATGTTATTTAAATACAGTATCAGTATGTTTCATTTTTTAATATTAAAATATAAACATTTATTTAATATTTATATTTTAAAATATGAAGAATCAATTTTTAATCATCAATTTTAAAATTATTAAAAAATTAAAGTTTTATAGAAATAAAAAATAAAAAATATATATTTCAATCATTTTATTATTACATTAGATTAAAAGGTCTTCTATAAAAAATTTATGGAACAACTATTTTATTCTAGAAGTATTTTAAAATAAAATTTTACCAAATGACTTTTGCTTTTAAAAAAAGACTTCTACAAATAATTCCTTCAAATAAGACTTCTATCAAAAGTTTCAATAACATCAAATGGGCTTAACTTAAGAACCTAAAATGCATATTATATTACTATTGCAGGTGAATAATATTAATTTTGAAGTGTTAAAAGTATAGAAATGATAAAAAATAAACATAGCCAAATTAACAGTTATTGCTTATAGTTCATCAGAAAGCAGAGCCTGGATCTCTTCCTGCCAATTGCCAATCGATTGTACTGAACTCTGCATTTCAAAAGAACTCAATTTCAGCCATATATACCTAAAAATCAATTTATCTATAATGGTGGAAAAAAGTGCAAAGCCCTAATGAAAATTAAATGAAGTTCTTAGTCAAAAAAACTTACTAGGGATTTATTAGAGCTGAGTTCTTTTCTATTATGGTGATTCTTAGACAGGAACTCTCTTTGCTATTCACTTCAATCTTAAAAATTGTTTTCTTTTTAGCAACTAAAGCAATAAAGGATTGCAAATGATAGAAAAGAA